CACTCGCTCGCCCTCCCCATCACTGCTGGCCCCCCCATCACTGCTGCCCCCCTCCCCCTCATCACTGCTGAGCTTAAGCAGCCAAATATCACCCGCACCACTTCAATAGCAGTGTGAAATTCAGCTGCTGGGACAGCATCGATCGATGCCTGAATCTACAAAATCGCAGCCGTGATGATTTGAATTCAGCATTACCGTGGGCGGAATACAAACTGGAATGTGTGTGTGTTAGAAGCTGTGTGTTGCGTGATGGTGTTGATGATGGAGCGATGTGTGTTGTAACGTAGCGGCTGCTGTGCATTGATTGCAGGAGCTGGATGTACTCCAGGCACAGGAGGACGACATGAGACAGAAGTTTGTTCAGAGAGTCAAGGAGAAGGAGTCAGAGCTGAAGGATGCAGAGAAACAGGTAACTATAATTACACTGTCCTGCCCTCAGTTCTCCCTGCAACAAGGGTTGCTAATCCCTTCTTTGTTATACGGATGTTATCAACCTCTGCCTTATGTGCAGCATGTGTTAACGCCTTCCTTCCTTCCTTCCTTCTTTCTAGTACATGTGCGGCGTGTGTTAACCCCTTCCTTCCTTCCTTCCTTCCTTCTAGTACATGTGTGGTGTGTGTTAACCCCTTCCTTCCTTCATGTGCGGCGTGTGGTCGTTACCCTTCCTTCCTTCTTTCTAGTACATGTGCGGCGTGTGTTAACCCCTTCCTTCCTTCCTTCCTTCTTTCTAGTACATGTGCGGCATGTGTTTACCCTTTCCTTCTTTTCAGCTGCACGCCAAGTTTGACAACCTGAAGAAGCAGCATGCCGATGAGAAGAAATCACTGGAAGAGAAACGCCGTCAGCTGGAGGAGGAGCTAAACGCATTCAACCGCCGCAAGCAGATGCTCGAGCAAAACAACTCCTCCTCCTCCTCCATCACCGGCAAGAAGAAGAAGTAAGCGGCACGTAGGAGACACCTGCTCCCCGCCAACGCTTCCTTCGTTCACCCGGGCTGCGCCGGTGTAACATGTGTGCCCTGCTACAGTCAGTCTCTCTCTCTTCTCTCTCTCTCTCTCTCTCTCTCTCTCTCTCTCTCTCTCTCTCTCTCTCTCTCTCTCTCTCTCTCTCTCT